GCTATTTTGCTACTAAGTTCTAATAGGCCGATCTCACTTAAAATTGGTCTAGGAATGATCAGCTCATGGTCCTGACAAAGTTAAGTTAACATTATACTATTTTTTACTCAAATTGGTACATATTTCAACAACAAAAATAAATACTGTAGACTCAGGTGACCGTTTAGGCCCATGGGCCTCTTGTTGTATTTGTAAGCTTTTCTTCCGTTTATACACCATACACTACATGTGCCGTAAAAATATTGTTAGCTCGTCTTTCAAGCCAAGTAATATTATAATCTGGTATCAAGTAATATCTTAATCTGGTATCAGGTAATATCATAATCTGGTATCAAGTAATATCTTAATCTGGTATCAAGTAATATCATAATCTGGTATCAAGTAATATTATAATCTAGTATCAAGTAATATTATAATCTGGTATCAAGTAATATCTGAATCTGGTATCAAGTAATATCCTAATCTGGTATCAAGTAATATTATAATCTGTAATATGATAATCTGGTATCAAGTATTATTATAATCTGGTATCAAGTACTATCTTAATCTGGGATCAAGTAATATTATAATCTAGTATCAAGTAATATTATAATCTGGTATCAAGTACTATCTTAATCTGGTATCAAGTAATATTATAATCTAGTATCAAGTAATATTATAATCTGTAATATTTTAATCTGGTATCAAGTAATATTATAATCTTGTATCAAGTAATATCTTAATCTGGTATCAAGTAATATCTTAATCTGGTATCAAGTAATATTATAATCTGGTATCAAGAAAATGAAATATATTAGACTTCAGTGTTACATATTCAGAATCTTGATGAATATTTTTATTTAACTTCATAAAAACCTTGTTTAATCAAAGAAAACTGTCGGCCATGAATTCAAGGTTAAAACTTGAAATAAACATTATTATTATTATTACAGGTGTCTTTGATACTTGTGATTCCCTAAATAATGATTTTGCAGTACTTTTAGTGGAAGTTGAAGTTTTAAACACGACAAACATTTAATAGTTACGAATAATTAAGTTTTACACAATATATATAATTGTTTATTTAAGCATTAGCAACCAACAACTTTATAATGTTACTCGTTACATTATGATATTTTGGTTTAAGCAAACAATTAATTACCTATACATATTTCATAGAATGATATTTGTTGAAAATTTTCAAACAACTGTGAATGCAGTCATTCTAAATGGACATGACATAGCGAACCTATTCACATTTTCCTCAACACCACTGATGATGGGCAAGGACCCAACATTTTCAACAAGTAACCTATGAAATTTGTTAAAGGTATGTTTTCCTTTGGAGACTTTTCCAAGTAAATTTTAAATATTGATGCTGTTAATTTTTTTCCTTCGGCAACTGTTACAAGTAGACGGAGTTTTACCTTTCCATCAACAAGAGACTGTACATGAACAAAAAGAAATGTTTTGACATGATATATCAGAAGATATCACCTTGGACAGTATTCATTTTAAAACCTCACTCTACATACTGATTCATTGTATTATCTTTTTTTGTTTGATGCAGAAGCTTCAGTTCTGACCCGAATTCTATACCCTTGGGTAGGATGTCTGTATACCCTTGTGTAGGATGTCTGTATACCCTTGGGTAGGATGTCTGTATACCCTTGTGTAGGATGTCTGTATACCCTTGGGTAGGATGTCTGTATACCCTTGGGTAGGATGTCTGTATACCCTTGGGTAGGATGTATGTATACCCTTGGATAGGATGTCTGTATACCCTTGGGTAGGATGTCTCTATACCCTTGGGTAGGATGTCTCTATACCCTTGGGTACCCTTATGTAGGATGTCTGTATACCCTTGGGTAGGATGTCTGTATACCCTTGTGTAGGATGTCTGTATCCCCTTGGGTAGGATGTCTCTATACCCTTGGGAAGGTTTTCTCTATACCCTTGGGTAGGATTTCTCTATACCTTGGGCAGGATGTCTCTATACCCTTGGGTAGGATGTCTCTCTACCTTGGGTAGGATGTCTCTATACCCTTGGGTAGGCTTTCTCTATACCCTTGGGTAGGATTTCTCTATACCTTGGGCAGGATGTCTCTATACCCTTGGGTAGGATGTCTCTCTACCTTGGGTAGGATGTCTCTATACCCTTGGGTAGGATGTCTCTATCCCTTGGGTAGGATGTCTGTATACCCTTGGGCAGGATGTCTGTATACCCTTGGGTAGGATGTATGTATTCCCTTGGGTAGGATGTATGTATACCCTTGGATGGGATGTCTGTATACCCTTGGGTAGGATGTCTGTATACCATTGGGTAGGATGTATGTATACCCTTGGGTAGGATGTCTGTATACCATTGGGTAGGATGTATGTATACCCTTGGGTAGGATGTATGTATACCCTTGGATAGGATGTCTGTATACCCTTGGGTAGGATGTATGTATTCCCTTGGGTAGGATGTCTGTATACCCTTGTGTAGGATGTCTGTATACCCTTGGGTACGATGTCTGTATACCCTTGGGTAGGATGTCTGTATACCTTGGGTAGGATGTCTCTATACCCTTGGGTAGGACGTCTCTATACCTTGGGTAGGATGTCTCTATACCCTTGGGTAGGATTTCTCTATACCTTGGGTAGGATGTCTCTATACCTTGGGGAGGATGTCTCTATACCTTGGGTAGGATGTCTGTATACCCTTGGGTATGATGTCTGTATTCCCTTGGGTAGGATGTCTGTATCCCCTTGGGTAGGATGTCTCTATACCCTTGGGAAGGTTTTCTCTATACCCTTGGGTAGGATTTCTCTATACCTTGGGCAGGATGTCTCTATACCCTTGGGTAGGATGTCTCCATACCCTTGGGTAGGATGTCGCTAGGATGTCTGTATACCCTTGGGTAGGATGTATGTATTCCCTTGGGTAGGATGTATGTATACCCTTGGATAGGATGTCTGTATGCCCTTGGGTAGGATGTCTGTATACCCTTGGGTATGATGTCTGTATACCCTTGGGTAGGATGTCTCTATCCCCTTGGGTACCCTTGGGTAGGATGTCTGTATGCCCTTGGGTAGGATGTCTCTATACCCTTGGGTAGGATGTCTCTATACCTTGGGTAGGATGTCTGTATACCCTTGGGTATGATGTCTGTATACCCTTGGGTAGGATGTCTCTATACCCTTGGGTAGGATGTCTCTCTACCTTGGGTAGGATGTCTCTATACCCTTGGGTAGGATTTCTCTATACCTTGGGCAGGATGTCTCTATACCCTTGGGTAGGATGTCTCTATACCCTTGGGTAGGTTTTCTCTATACCCTTGGGTAGGATTTCTCTATACATATTACGGTATATGATAAACTCTATTAATCCCACATATAAATATCTGTCCTGAAATCATTGGTACAATTGAACACCCCGACCACAGCAAGCTCTCACATGATATTTGACACAGTTGTACAAACCATTAGTTCCAGACTTAATCACACATTTGGTACAATTTTCCTTTCAATTTTTTTTCCAATTCATCAGCATAACATTCAATCTTTTCATGCTGTTTTCTAGTGACAAAAATATATTGAGTTTCACACACTTGGTACAATTTTCATTTCAAATTCATTGGTTAAACATTCAAGCTTCAAAAGAAAATATGGAATTTCAAAGCAATTTTTTTTGATGTTTTGATTTTAAGATAACAGGTACCTGAATATTTCTAAAAGTAATTTATACATCTGTGTCAACTAATCATGTGATAACTTTTCAATGCAACATGGTGCCACTGTCTTTTACCACTGGCCACTGTTGATCACTTATGGTTATCATTGAATGATCAAGGTAGATATTGCAATAACTCATATAAAAGTGTTTGAAAAAAGCAACATAAAACATTTATAAACAGTGATGATGGTTCAACCCATAGCTTCTCATGCAGTCTGTGCTGAAAGTAGTTTGACCCATAGATTCTCATGCAGTGTGTGCTACTTACATACGGATTCTGTGTGACGTCCATAGCAAATGTGATAATGACCATGAAAGTGACATTTTGAATGATGTTGGTGATAATGACTTTACAATTAATAAGTTAGGAAATAAATTAATAGCCATCAATAAAGACGGCTATTCTGACATTCTGTGTAAAACTGCAGCTACATAATCCAACAGTTTTATGACTAATTTATGCATAGAGAGATTGGCACCTCATGCAGGTATGAACACAGGTGAGTTGCATACATATTCCCTCGTGAACACTGAAAAGAATTGTGTTTGACACCTGCGTTTACATTTGAATTTACAATTATTAGTTATTTAAATATCCTTAATGTTTCTAATATTTATGCGTCTATCATCAGTGCAGAGGACATTTCAGGGACAACCTAAATAAGTCATCTAAATGTTTGCTTCTTACAATGATCTCAAAGGATAGGAAAAGAGACAAAATGACACTGACTTATAGTTTTATGAACAAAATGTCTTCTGGTAGTGATTATTTAGGGACTTGCAAAGGAAAAATATATAATAAATAAAAGCATGTTAAATAATAACATCTCCAGACTAATAGCTTGCAGAGAATATCATATTAGTTATAAATGTATTAGCTTTACACAGGAAATATGGGACCATATAACCTGTCTCAATTTCATATGTACATATTAATGTAGGTATTTTATACTAACAGATTCATGTACATGTTCTTGTTCGGCATGTCAACATCCAGTGTCACACTGATGCAGTTTGGAGAGGACTTTGTAGGGTCGGATACCAGTATTTGTTTTAAAGAGCCGTTAAAAGGTATTTATTAGGGTAATCTCCCTTATGAAATATTCATTAGAGTAATTATCCATTAAAAAATGTATCAGCACTGTTCCTTACGCGAGCGTTATCAACACAAAAAGTTTGGAACATGAAGCATCAATAGGCACTATCTTTCCAGTTAGCTGGATGTCTACTTTAATTTATAGAGGTTTCACATTATTCAGAGTTCAGATAAGACAGGTAAAACAGTGAATTTGTAATATATTCTTTATCATTTCAAACAGAAATAAATGTATCTGATAATTTAAGGTACTCCAGAGTAAATCATTGTTGATGGCAATATTGTAAAATTTCAGCTTTACCATGTTCATCTTTACGTGGTTCTTGACGGACTTGGCGTAGGAAGCGTACTGTAGGGTAGTGAACGTCTCCTGGTGGGTACGGTCTGAAAGGTCAAAGGTCAGAAAATATTCTATAAGAGATCATAGGTCAGAGGTCATGAAATATCTACAAGTTCAGATGGTAGCAATATCAATATGACTTCACAATTCAATAGAATAAGCAAAGTTGGAAGTCAAGGTGAAAACAAATGGGGTAAAGAAGCTGTTTGTATGAAGATCTACTTTTAGCTCATTCACCCCTGAAATTTCATAATGAACTATTCCAAGCTTTGAGTTGGGAGAGTTCAAATGTGTCTTCAGGGGTTAATGGGTTAATTTATACTGTTCTGTCCTCTAAAATCTAAATTAATATATTGGGCCACAATACAAACAATATTAATTTTCAACTGCCTGAACTTTGACCCCAGAGCAGCTCCAGACAAAGTTTGGTGTTTTTTTACCTGTTGGCGCCACGACAGCAAACATCATGGTCACAGCATTCCCGCCCAGGGACTCCTGAAACATAGATGGTCGTACTTAGGTGAAGTTAGAGTCTCAGTGGTTTATACATTGTACATTGTAGTTGCTTCTGAAATAATGATCATCTACAAGATCTGTCATAAATTAGCAGGGTCAAGATATCAAGTCAGTTCAAGCAGGTTTTCAGATTCCAAAGGTTCAATCTAAATACACAAAAGTGTGTGTCCTATAGCTATTTATAGGCCTGGTTTATACCAGATTCTAGACTTTTCGATGTATTAAAGTTACGCTATAATTAAGGTCAGAGTTTTGACCCATGATAATGACCTATAGAAGCCTGGTTACTACCGAGCCCCTGTAAGGTACTGCTGACCCTTGAGGTCGGAGTGTTGACCTCAATACTGACCTGTAGAAATCTGGTTACAATAGAGACCCTGATGACCCTGCAGGTAGGAGTGTTGACCTTGACACTGACCTTGATACTGACCTGTAGAAATCTGGTTATTATGGAGACCCTGTAAGGCACTGCTGACCCTACTGGTAGGAGTGTTGACCTTGACACTGACCTGTAGAAGCCTGGTTACTATGGAGATCCTGTAAGGTACTGCTGACCCTTGAGGTCAGAGTGTTGACCTTGACACTGACCTGTAGAAGCCTGGTTATTATGGAGTCCCTGTAAGGCACTGCTGACCCTTGAGGTCAGAGTGTTAACCTTGACACTGACCTGTAGAAGCCTGGTTACTATGGAGTCCCTGTAAGGCACTGCTGACCCTTGAGGTCATAGTGTTGACCTTGACACTGACCTGTAGAAGCCTGGTTACTATGGAGATGCTATAAGGCACTGCTGACCCTTGAGGTCAGAGTGTTGACCTTGACACTGACCTATAGAAGCCTGGTTACTATGGAGTCCCTGTAAGGCACTGCAGACCCTTGAGGTCAGAGGGTTGACCTCAATACTGACCTGTAGAAGCCTGGTTACTATGGAGATCCTGTAAGGCACTGCTGACCCTTGAGGTCAGAGTGTTGACCTTGACACTGACCTTGACACTGACCTTGACAATGACCTGTAGAAGCCTGGTTTCTATGGAGTCCCTGTAAGGCACTGCTGACCCTTGAGGTCAGAGTGTTGACCTTGGCACTGACCTGTAGAAGCCTGGTTACTATGGAGTCCCTGTAAGGCACTGCAGACCCTTGAGGTCAGAGTGTTGACCTTGACACTGACCTGTAGAAGCCTGTTTACTATGGAGATCCTATAAGGCACTGCTGACCCTTGAGGTCAGAGTGTTGACCCTAACACTGACCTGTAGAAGCCTGGTTACTATGGAGTCTCTGTAAGGCACTGCAGACCCTTGAGGTCAGAGTGTTGACCTCAATACTGACCTGTAGAAGCCTGGTTACTATGGAGTCCCTGTAAGGCACTGCTGACCCTTGAGGTCAGAGTGTTGACCTTGACACTGACCTGTAGCAGCCTGGTTACTATGGAGTCCCTGTAAGGCACTGCTGCCCCTTGAGGTCAGAGTGTTGACCTTAAAACTGCCCTGTAGAAGCCTGGTTACTATGGAGACCCTATAAGGCACTGCAGACCCTTCAGGCCAGAGTGTTGACCTTGACACTGACCTGTACAAGCCTGGTTACTATGGAGTCCCTGTAAGGCACTGCTGACCCTTGAGGTTAGAGTGTTGACCTTGAAACTGACCTGTAGAAGCCTGGTTACTATGGAGTCCCTGTAAGGTACTGCTGCTCCTTTCTTGTTTCCTCCCAAAACACTGAGCACATTCGCAATACCCTGCACTCTGCAATCCACAAAGTTGTGAAAATGACACATGTGTAGGCTTTTGATAAGATATTTCTTTTACAGTTGATTGTACAGACAGGTATTTCTCATTCCTGCATGGTGACCTTTATAGACTGGTATTTTCATCATAGGGGTCCTTATAGAGAAGGTTCCCTTTCATATTGACATTAATTGAGAGGTAGTTTCATCCTGGTCTTTTTAGACAATTTTTTTTTTCGGGTTATCTTTATATACAGATAATTCGTTGATGATGATCATTATAGACTGATATGTTTATCATGGTGGCCTTTATAGAGAGGTTTGTTGCCATGGTGGCCTTTATAGAGAGGTTTGTTGCCATGGTGGCCTTTATAGAGAGGTTTGTTGTCATGGTAGCCTTTATAGATAGTAACACTTGTATACCATACCCAGCTATAACGTGATGGTCTGTACTGCCAAGCTGATCTGTTCCTGTGTGTAGAAAAATAGCTGATGTCAAAGCCTATGATAAAATTTCGGTTGTTACCGATTGACGGAAACTTTGTTATCGAGACATCAATACTATATTAATAAGAATACCTTTGTTAGTGTATTTATGTGAACGTGTTCAATCTTACATTTGATCTCTCAGAACACCAATGCTTTCCCCAAGCAGGGTATTTGGGAAAACATTTTCTTATTTTGATCTGACGATGGCCCACAAAGCTAGTGGGTCAAAACATGTAAACTGGATTAAAGGAGGTGTTGCATAGCAGCCCACGACTGATTTATTAATTTTTAGCATAAACTAATTAATAAGCATGATATACACATCAAAATAAGATTTTTTTCTCTCAAATGGAACAATTTTGCAACTGTAGGGCCCCCTGAGTAAGTTGATTTTCAAAATGCCAATGACCCCATGTGCCTTAATTGAATACCTGGTTTAACTGAATGAACTGTGTGTTGAAATATTTCACATCTTAAATTAACATCATTCATTTCACATGACCTTATATGGTTTGTATAGTATATAGTTGTATATAAGATTTTATAGCTATGCTTCTATAGCATGACAAACAAACATAATGTTATGATGAAAACAGGAATGTCTTGGAGTAAAAATACTCGTAAGTCTGTACCAGAATGCCATCACCACGTATGTGTATTTGTACAAATGAATAAATGATAAGGTAAGTATTAAATCTACAGGGTCACTGGCCAGTTGGTAAAGGACGGTAAACTCCTCTATTTTCATAAAAGACAATTGCAGTCTATATATAAGTAAATATACTGTACGAAAGATTTATAAATGTTTTTTGTAGATGGACAGACAAACCTCATCATATTTCTTTGTGCTGCTTATAATCAAAACAGCATAAAGTGTCATGCCCTTCACATAACAATATCACTATAAATCATTTTTGCACTTATAAAGTATTCAATGTTTCCTTTGCATGTATATATATATAAACGTAGATTAATTTTCATCTTGTTCATTTCCCATATTAAATGAAAATCAAATGGTTGTGCTTGTGTATTATGTGTTAGTTTAAATCATGACAAAAACATATATCTGTTAAATATTATGCTAATTTATAATAAAACTGTCACATTGTCTTTATCATTATTTGAACCTTTCCCCCTTCTTACACCTTGTATTATTATTATAGCAAAACAAGAGCCGATTGCTGCAAATACAGTATTCATTTTATCATGTTAGGAGACATGTTTATAAATTTACATCAGTTCGCCTTTGAACTTTAACTCATTCATCCCTGAAATTTCAAAATGAATTATTCCAACCTTTGAATTGGAAGGGTTTAAATGTGTCTTTGGGGGTGAATGAGTTAATTAATATATCTTGTATGTCAAGTTGTAAGGAAATAAACATCGGTGTACCCCAGGGTTCGATACTTGGGCCACTATTTTTTTTTTTATCTTGCATATGAATGACTATCCAACATGTTTGAAACATTCATCAGTTGTAATGTACGCTGACGACACATCACAGGGTGTAAAAGGTGATGCAGTTGATGATGTCGAAGAAAAGTTAATAGTTGACCTTGAATTAGCAAGTGAGTGGATGACCAATAATAAAATGAGTCTAAATCTAACAAAAACCCAATGCATGCTTATTGGCTCATCACAAAAATTATCAAAACACAGACAGATGCGTGTCAAAGTGGGTGATATAATTATTGAAACTGTACACAATGCCAAACT